CAAAAAAACCAAAGGCCTAAGCTGCTGAAAGACCCTCAGCACCCGAAAAACCAAAATCACAAAAAAAAACCAACAAATACAAAAAAAAAAAATTGCAGTCTTCATTGTTGTGAGGAACCCAGCGCCGCGCAACACCCTGAAAAAAAAGGGTTAGATTCTGTTGTACCAAAAAAAAAAAAAAAAGAAGATAAAGAAAAAGAAAAGAAGAAAAAGGAAAGAGAAAAGTATGGTGGCGGTATAAGGCGGCTCTCGGCCACCTGAGACTTCTTGGAATGATCTGAACCGTTGAAGACAGAGATCGAATACGGAGGAGAAACATACCAAAAATCAGAAAGATCGGACGGTAGACAGAGGCTAAAAGGGGGTTCAAAGTTTTGGCTTTTTGGCTTAGATCTGGGGTTTCTGAGGCTGTTTTGTGGAAAACTAAGCTCGGATCTGTAACGAGGACGAAGAGAGGAAGTTCTAGGCGAAACTTGGGAGTCAAAATGCGCCAGCTGGTAGCGGCGGCTGCGACGGAGCGGCGGCGGCGTATACGGCTGATTCTGGACTGTTGGTTCTTTTGAATGAGAGTGGAGTTAATTTTTTTTTTTTTTTGTGTGGAAATAATTTTATTTAAAAAAAGGACGGGTCGGGTCAACTTAAACTGACTCACTGCAATCCGCCAACCCGAGACCCGACCGGCCCAAACCCGCTGAAACTTGGTCCGTACCAGTCAAGCCCAACACCAATTGCTGTGGCCTGCTTGCTCCCTTGATTCAGCCCAGTTCAATTCAAGCTAAACTTGGCCCATCAGATTTGGGTCAAAACTTTGTTTGGTATAATTTTCCTTTTTTAAACTCTATTATTTAATTCATTTTTATATACACACATATATATATATATATACATATTTTCTAATATAAAAAATACATGTCTTCAAAAATAAAATAATTCTTGCAAAATTAAAATTATTAATACTTATGTTAATGTTTCTTTAAATTTGCTATTGGAATAATTATTGTCATTGCTTGAGAAATGAAAATATAAAAATTAGAAAAAATGAATGAACATAAAAATTAAAAAAAAAAATTAAAAATCTTGCTTAGATGTTGAAAAGATTTCAAAATCACGTTTTATAAATTTAATTCCACCTTGTTAGAGAATTAAAAAATTAATTAATTAAATAAAAATATTAAAATAATATAATAATAAAAAAATTTTTTTGCACAAATCATAAATTAAAAATATAATTTTGCCCATTTTAAATTTTTGTTATAAAAAGGGAAAGGATAAAAAAGAATAATAAGAAAATAGAAATAAAATATGCGTAAAACTTATTAAATCGGTAGTGTTAATTTTTACCCTTCATTTGCATATTTTGTTTGCATCAATATAAAGCTGTTAAGGAAAAAAAGAATCATAAAAAACTAAATTTGTTTTGAAAATCGTTAGATGTTGAGGATTTTAAAAATGTTTGTGTTTTTTTAAATCTTAAAATTCAAATCCAAAATCCTAAAACTCTCGAAATCCTAAAACATTAAAATTGTCGAAACTTTAAAACTTTTAAAATCCTAAAACCCTTTAGACCTTAAATTTTAAAATCTTAAACATTCAAAACCTTAAAACTCGAAATCTTAAAACCTCAAACACAAAAAATGAAAACCTAAAATCTTAGAATCAAAACCTTAAAATCGGAATCCTAAAATTCAAACCCTTAAGTTCGAAACCCTAGGTAAAATCCTAAACTCTAAGTAAAATCTAAAACCCTAAACAAAACCCTGAAATCCTAAGTGAAACCATAAACTTTAGGGCAAGTCCGAAAACTTGATCCATCCAAAATCTTAAAATTTTTAAGAATTTATATAAAAACCTTTTTATAAAATAATCTATTCTTGAATGTTGCCCAGATGATGGAGGTATTAAGGAAATCTTATTTCATTAACAATTTTTATATATTTTTATAACTTAATATAAAAATTTTAAAGAGTAAAAAATAAATAAACAATACAATAAGGTTTTAAATATAAATAGTTGTACCTAAATTCTGTTTTGAAGTTGAAAAATCCAGGTAGTCTCTTTATATTTGAAAATTCGATTCTTAAATTCGTATTTTACCATCTGCATATATCTCATTTTTAGAATAATGTGTATATTTATAATTCATATATATATTTGTTGATGTTTAATGTTACTTAGATTATTTTTCTTTTTTTTACTGCATAAAAAGTTTTCTTAAAATTTTTTTGTTTTGAACAACCAAAATTAAAATAGCATTTCATGAAATATAACTGTTGATAACTGTCTAGATGTTGGTAAGTTACCAATAATTATCATTTATAAAAAAATGTTATTTTATTTATTTTTAAAAAGAATGTTGTAATAAATCTTAGATAGAAAAACTATGTTTGAGTTTTACCTATATACCGAAAAATTTGAAAGCATTTCTTTAATTTAAAATTTTCATAGTATTCCTAAATAATGAACTTTAATAAAATTACTTTCTTTTAAAAAAGAACAAAGGGAATTATTATTAAATTTTAAATCAAAACCATTTTATCCAATATAGAAAATAATGTGTGATTAATTAGTATCAATTTATAGGTATTGTGGGGATATTAACTTTTCTTCACACGTAACTGACTCTCGAATCCAACTTGATTTTTCGTATATAAAAATTTATCTTTTTGATAAACTTTAAATCTATTTTTTATAATTTTATCAAAAAAATAAATTTTTGGGTAGCCAATCACATCCTAAAAAAAATTGATAATGACTTTCTTTTTTTTTTTCAATTTCTAAAATTTTTTTATCTAACAGTTTCAAAATTGTTACAATATTAGATCATTATTTGGCTAAAAAAAAAAAGAGAGATGGATCATTTCGCTTTGACCATTATTATAGGAGTTAACCTTAAAAATACTCAAGGTAAACATATGGTGATAATGGTTTTTTTCAATTTTTGTTTTTCGATTAATGTAAAGTATTATAGATTTTCAAAAATCAATCCAAATTTGAGTCAGATTCTCTTTGATAATTGATACAATCTATCGGTTCAGTTCAATTCAATGAATTTTAAATTTGAATTTTTTAATATTGCTTTAATATAGTTTTTAATATATTTAATTTTTTTTTTGTACATCTGTTGGCATATTTAAATAGATTTAGATTTAAAATAATTGTTTTACCTAATAAAAATTTAAAATATATAAAAACTAATAAAAATATATAATTTGGTTAGATTTAGATATTTTTAATTTTTTCACTTCCTAATCCAAATTCTGATTCAAACCTAATTGAAACATTTAATATTCAAACTTAATTCAAACTAAAAAAAAAAAAAAACCATCCAAGTCAGACACTAAAATTTAAACCAGTTTTTGATTTTATCATACATGTAACATTATGCAAAAGCAACGTTATGCAATATAAATGCATATTGCAAGGTTTGAATCATACTTCAAGTTCATATATTTGATGTCTTTCCTTAAGATCTTGACGATCAGATCCTGCTTCAAAATTTTCAGTATCATCTTCTTGATATTCCTTTCAAGCACCACCTTAATACTCTCACATGTCCTTGGGATATATGCGAATGCCTTGCATACAAAACCTGACACTGTCTTATATTGATGTTCCTATAAAACAGTAAAAAATGATGTTGAGAATACCTATGCAACTGACAAACAGACATTTTTATATGTGGATACAGTCCTTCATGCTATGAGGTGAGGTTCAATTGATAGTTCATTTTCCTCTAGTATATATATAACAGCTCATTCAACTTCTCAAACTGCAAGAAAATTTTTCTATGTTCAATCTCATATTAATGTTGTATAGTAAATAAGTGAAAGTTATGCCCTACAAATCAAATGATATTGTTTTGAGTGGGCACAGAAAAATGCTATGGAAGTGCTTTCACATAACACCTTAATCCATGAAAAGTTCATTTTTTAACAAAAAAAAATCCGTCTTACTTTGAGGTTCTTCAACAGATAAGAATCATTCAAGAGTACAAATACCAAAATACAGTTCATTGAATTCTCGCTGACATGTTAGTTTATGGATGCTTGTTTGCATTTTGACATCATCCTCTCCGATTATGAGATGAACTTTCAAGTAAGAAAATTAAGATGCTTAGGATGGAACTATTAATTCTCCTGTTTCTCCTTATTCTACTTATCTTATGAAACGTACTATTTCATCCGCTCGTTTTGCTTCTTTTGCTTTTATGTTGACATCAATGTCTTTGCCAAAGTTGGGAATCTTTGTTTCATAGTCATTCCACTCTTTGGTGAACCATAAAAGCTTCACCTTCTTGTTTGTTTCAGTAAGCTACTTAAGGTAAAAACGTAGTGGTTTTTTCATTTCTTCAATGTACTTTTCTAGAATTCAAAGATGTGGAAAAGTCAGTAAGGCAGAATCGATCTTTTGCTATTAATCAGAATTAATAATGCTTGCCTTGGAACTTCTACTTTTTGTCACTTGTCGGAATCAAAATTAGTAAGATATACTAATATAGGAGTATATATAGCTTCATAATTCAAATATATAAACCAGGTAACTTTTGTTATATTGTCTTATTATCTGAGGGTTACATATAACCCATGTGAGTGAAATTGACAACGAAAACGTAAGTGTCCAAATTAATTCATTTCATTTCTTCATCGTTTTGGAAGTTAAAATAAAAACAAACAATTTAATTTACAATCAATTATGCCCAACAAATACCTAGTATCATGCAAAGTAAAATATTTTATTACAATTTAAGATCTTCTAGTTTTTTGGAGAGTAGTAGCAAAGATTATTTAGTCAAACAAGCTGAAACTAAAATCATGGAAGAAAACAAAAATTATTGCAACCATAAAAGATGTAAACACTTATAATAGATGCTTACACACTTTATTAAATACAAAGATAAACACGTACATGAGTAGCCTTCACCATGGGCAAAACATTTGATAGACTGTACTAGGATAAAGTGTAAAAACGTAACAGAAATGCTTAAACATCCTTTGCACTGACTACGTCCTTCGTCCTCCACCATTACGATTGCCAATCTTTGACCCTTTTCGCCTCTTATGATATCGGTCTTCAACCAAAGCCACAATCCATTTTGGCTTACCAGTTTGAAAAACAACATATCCTATTACCAATCCAAAGATAACTCCACATCCATAACCTGTCAACACTACTTTCCAACCAAAAGCAATGCTCGATTTTGAGCCATCTTCTTCCAGCAAGTTGGAAGGTGGCGGCTCACTGTTGCTGCAACCTTTAGAGACTGGAAATCCACATAATCCCTTGTTTCCTTCATATGAATCATTTCCAAAAGTGTTGAATTGTTTGCCTTGTGGAATCTGACCTTTAAGATGATTTTCAGAAACATTAAAGACAGAAAGAGATGTCAAATCTAGCAATCTCTCTGGAATCGTCCCAACCAGCTTGTTTGAAGAGAGGTCCAGCCATTCAAGATTAATCAAATTCCCTATTGAAGTGGGGATACATCCACTAAGATTATTATGAGAAAGGTTAAGACCTTTGAGTGAGTTAAGCTTTCCAATAACCTTTGGAATCTCTCCTTGAAACTTATTATTTGAAAGGTCAATGCCCATTAACTTGATGAAAATTTTCACCCCTTCCCTCGTTACTCCTTTGATTGTAATTTCAATGGAATAGCTATAAGATATACCATTGTCAACATAAATCTCCCCCATGTATTGCGATACACTTTCTTTTTCTGTGAGATTTATCATTGCTTGGAAATTTTTTATATACATCACAGGTAGTGTTCCAGAAAAAAAATTGCTTGAGATGTCAAAAATTTTGATTTGGGAAAAAGAAAGACTGGAACTAGCGTCTTGTATGGGACCTTGTAGTTGATTTGACCGCAATAAAAGAACTTGTAGCTCAGGAAGACTTCCCAACCAATGAGGAAATGTATCATTGATCTTGTTGTCACCAAGATCTAGCACTTCCAGACCTCTACAATTAGGGATGGATCGTGTTAAAGGCCCTTCTAATTGATTGCCATTTAAGTTGAGATTCTTCAATTGACATCCCTTTGTAAAAGTTGGAGGAATGATTCCACGAAATTTGTTCATCCGTAGATTCAACATCCAAAGACTGTCGCTTAAATTTCCCAAACAATGGGGAATGATTCCACTCAAGTTGTTGTGAGACAAGTCAAGAAATCCAAGAGAAGTCATATTGCAAATTAGATAAAAGACATTTCCGCTCAAACTATTATTGGAAAGATCTAAATGTTGCAAACTTTTTGAGCCTCTTAACAATTGGGGGAATTCGCTAACATTGCAAGAAGACAAATACAAAGATACAAGGTTAGGTAGTGTATAAACAGCACTAGTGCCACTAAAGTTTAAGGATAAACTGTTAGATGAAAGATCAAGCACTTGCAGGTTTTGAAGTTTCAAGAACATGCCAAAATCTACAATACCACTTAGATTATTTGATGAACAAGAGAGAAAAGTAAGGTTCATGAGTTGGGATATTGAAGTTGGAATAGGACCTTGGAGTTTATTATTTTGTAAATATATCAATTCCAGAGAGTTGTATTGGAATTCTTTGATATGACCACTGAACTGGTTATGAGAGAGATCTATGTACTTTAAGGAGGAAATGGTATACAACCATGATGGAAGTGTTCCACTAAGTGAATTTGAACTCAAGTCTAGCAGGATTAGATTAGGAAAAGCAGTTACCTCATCTGGAATGGAACCTTCTAGCATACTTCCAAAAATGTCGAAGAATTCAAGTTGTTTTAGGTTTGTGAGTGACGGAGGAATTGATCCACTAAAAGAGTTCCATGACAAGCCCAATTCCTTCAAGGAAATAAGGTTCCCGATTGAATTGGGCAATCCTCCTGACAAAAATGCGTGTGATACATCCAACTCCTCCAAAGGTACTAAATTGCCAATCGATTCAAACAATTCTCTAGAGAAGGACATATATGATAGATCCAAAAGCTTGAGATGGCTGCTCCGATTGAATTGTGGAAGATTGAGACTGAGGTTTCTGTTGCGTCCTAAATTGAGCAACTTGAGGTTTGGCAGATGGAAAATGTTTTCTGGGAATTTTCCTTGCAAATCACACTCATTGAGACTAAGAGACCTTAAAGATGAGGATAGATTCCTCAAGACATAAGGATTAATAGAAGACATGTTGGTTTCATCAAGAAAAAGATCTCTCACCTCTGTTAGGTTGTGAACAAGTCCTTCCAAAGCATGTTGCTGAAATGTTTGCTGATAATTCCCAGAGAGATCAAGTGAAACCAATTTTGACAAGTGGGAGACTTGGGATGGGACTTGTCCTGCAAAGTTTGATCTAGAGAGGTTGAGATACACTAGACTTGCAAACCCACCAAACTTAGATGACATCTTGGAAGAGTTAAAATCGTTGAAGGCAAGGTTGAGCTTCTGAAGGTGTGGAAGATGGAAGAGAGTACTATTGGAAGGGATGGAGCCATATAGCCAACTGCAACTCTAGCCAACTGCAACTCAAGTCAAGGCCAATCACTTGACCTTTTATATAATCACAAGTCACCCCATCCCATGAGCAGCAATCCGTACCTTCCTTCCATGAATCTGTCTTAGGATAGGATTTAGTGCCAGCATAATCACAATCCGAAAAATAAGGATAAAATTGATTAACTGAAACAGAGCTCTTGAATTGGATTAGTGCAACAGCTTCATCGTGAGAGCAAAGTTGAGTTGTCGGAGAAGAAAGAGAATAGGATGATAGATTAGCTTGAAAAAACAGGAAGAACAAGACAAGGTATAGGAATTGATAGGCTCGGAGTAAGCACCACATCTTTTTTAAGCAAGAGAAATTGAAGATTAATGGTATGAGATATGATTGTTTCGAATGAGTTTATATAGTCTGCACTGGAGAACCAAAATGTAGAAAGTATTGCTTTATCCTCCGTAGGGAAGCCAATTTGAAGAATGCGAGCTACGTCCATTATTGAAAAGATTAGAGTGCGGCGACTTAGAGAGGAAGACTTGTCAATGTGAATTGACTCGATCTTGCTTCCGAACAATAGCACTGTCAATCTATCAAATCTAAAACCAAATTTTGTATATTTGTCAATCCCACCATCATTACTTTGGACATTTGTAAGTACAGAAGCATACTGCAAAGAAACTTCAAATTTTCCACATGACTATGGAAAATGTTTTGCTTGAAATTACATTGGTGTGATTTCATTTAAACTAAAGGGAAGCTGCATTTTTCTACCACACGTTTAAATTCAGAACAGAATAAGGTAAAAAAAAAAAAAAAACTCTATCACATAGGAAACTCTATCACGTTTAAATACTAAAGTACATGATATTTTCTTATTTAATTTTTTTTGTATGATATCTTGTATCCGTTGAATTCAATCCATCATTTTTCACTAACAAATGTTTCTTCAAAAAATTCTTTTAATTTTGTTTTTATATTATAACCATTATTGTCGTATCATGAAAAATTATGCAATATTTTAACCTATATAGAATCACAAAATAACATATTTAGTGCCATATAAAAAGTTTTGTTTGCTGATTTTGTCCCCGTGTAGACAAGATGAGCTTTCCATCTTTACTTTAATGAGTGTTGCTCCCCACCATTATTAATCATTCACCTATTACCTAAAGTCAATAAAGATGTGGGATCCAACGAGAAGGAAACAAGAGCATTTCCTCCAATAATGCAAATCAATATAATTGCACTGTGCATAGGAAACTTCTCTGCAGTATCTTACCAAGTAAACTTGTAAATACAGAAGCATACTGAAAAGAAACATATTTTCCACAAGATTATGGGAAAATGTTTTGCTTGAAATTAAATGGGTGTCATTTTCAATTAATTCTTTTTAAAAGCCTTATGATCATGGAATAATGAAATCAATGTCCTAGAAAATCAAGCCTGGTTCTCTTTTTGCAATTTAATTCCAATCAGACTTCACTTGTAAGGTGTTGTCCTATTGTGTTGTCCCATTTTCAAAGCATTGATTTCCGACATTCACGACAGGAGTTTAGGTTTTTAGTGATGTTTTTTTTAACATTTAGTAATGTTTATAAACGTCACTAAAAGATTTGTGATGTTTGTAAAAAATGTCACTAAGAGTGTCAGCTATACACACGTCAGGAAAAATAATTGTTTTTTTTTATAAAACGCCATTATTTTAGTGGCATTTGTATCTGAAAAATGCCACTAATTTAATGGCGTTTGTATTAGAAAAACACCACTAATATGGTGGCGTTTATATGATAAGATACTGCTAATTTAGTGACATTTTTTTTATAAGAACATCACTACTTTTAGTGGCATTTTATGGTACAAACATTACTAAATTTAGAATTTAGCAGCATTCTTGAACACGAACGCTGCAAAATTAAGAAATTTACTTTTCTTTTAAATTTCTTTTAATATTTATTATTTTCATTAACAAGAAATGTTAAAAGAAATTAAAATGAACTAAAATTCACAAACTGAAATTAACAAATACTTAATTCATGTTCCAATATACATGTAATTAACACAAAGTTTAATAATTAGTATAATAACATTCGAATTATTTTAATACATTAACCAAAAAATTTAAAAATATATAAAATTGATAACTACATAGATATGGAAGACTACCATTTGATGAAGGAATTTTTTCACCTTGGTTACTAACGTGCTTAAAAATATACTGAATAATATCATACAAGTTTTAACACTTCATAATAAGCTTTTTTTATATTAAAAAATATAAATATTTACTAAATATAATACTTGAGTTGGTGGACTACCAAGATTAGTTATTGGAAATTGTTGTTGTACAAAATTCATAAGATGATTGAACCGATCATGCAACTGCTAAAATTTTGCATGCTCTTAATCCATTCTAGCATGTTCTCCTTCAATTTTGGCACGCTCATGTTCTCTTTCTATTTCCATTTACTAGAAAACATTGTTACATAGTTTGCAACTCCTCTCTTAATATGAAAATGTCTTGTGAAGACTAACTCGCTAAGAATGTAAATTTTTGAGAGCTATGTCCATAGTAGGTAGATGGTGTTGGACCCAATTCAAGGCTTGTGACCCATCTATGACTTTTTTTTCCAGCAACTTCTATGAAAATTTGATTTTTCAATTCTTGCATGTTAACAAAACCATCAGATACTACTTCAATCTCAGCAGCATTTTCTCTTTCGTTTTCTCATGTAAATTAATCATATAAATTATCATGTTTAATGATTAATTCATAATATGTTAAAAAGAGTAAAAATATACTTTCTATTAAAATAGATGTTACAAATTACCACAATTTTTTGTGTTTCGATATTCAGGTAAAATCTATCTTTTTTTGTGTGTATTAAGTGAAAAAGTTTCACACGTCTAATTTTACCACCCATCTCAATCCTTTATACAAAAACATATGTTATTGTTAAATACATATCAACCGTAACTTATTCATGCATATCAAGCCTGCCAAGCAAGTTCAAAATTTTGAATAAGTTTAATATCATGTATTTAATCTATCTAAATTGTTAAAATAGAAATATAATCGTAAAATTATATTTTGGCCCTTTAACAACATAATAGCCTTAAACAGACGTAAACATTAAAAGTATTTTAACCTTTCACACATATAGATCATAGAAACTGAATTCAATTATTTAGACAAGTTTAATATCGTGGATTGAAGTCATCCAAAAGTTTAATTTGTATTTTTGCCTTTAAAAGGCAAAAATAGTCCCAAATAGACATAAATGATAATTTTGTCACATATATCAACCATAGAAACCAAGTTCAATCATTTGGACAAGTTTAATATCATGTATTGAAGCTATCCAAACTATTAAAATAGAACAATAACAACAATTTTGTATTTTTACCTATTAACGGCATAAAAAGTCCTACATAGATGTAAACAATAATTTTTTCATACATATCAACCATAGTAACTAAGTTCAATACTTTGGATAAGTTTAATATCATGTATTGAAACTATCAAAACTATTAAAACAGAACAATAACTATTAATTTACATTTTTACCTTTTAACGGTACAAAAAGCTCTTTCATTTGAATAAGTTTAAAATCATAAACTTACTATTTCTTTTTGCTTTCTTGCAAAAATTTTTTATCCACTTCTGTGGCTATATTTCTGTTGCTTTCTGTTATTAATCCCAATCTATTCTCTTTCCTATCATAAAATGATCATTTCGTATATGGTAGAAATACAAATATTACCAACTTAAAGCATAAAACACTTTTGTTATTTCATTCTAATATGCAAAGTTATAAATTAGAACCTCTTATTTTCTTGAGAACCAAAATCTAACTAATTGTTCATATTGTAACCTAATCACATTACGGGGTAGATTTTCCATTATGGCCTCTATAGTAGTATTTCGATCGAAATACTTATTCTTCAAATTATGCTTATAGTCTTTCCATTTCTTTCCCAATGACTTAAGCACAAATGAAATTGGTATTTCAAGTATAAATCTTGACTATAATAATACAATAAGAAAAGTTTGAATAAGTAAACCAAATGTCAAATAATTATTTTTTTATATGTAATTAATTATACTAATGCCTTAATAGAGTTTAAAGCATTGACCTAACTTCTACTAGAATTTTATGCCATGTTTCATAATGAATAGGTAATTTCATTCCATTACGGGCAAGCATGCCTCGAATCCAACAAACAGTTGAGCCTCTTCACCAATTGGTTGCCTATCAAAGTTTGCAGACACTACAACATGCTTATTCAGAGGTAGTGCAAACAATTCCTTCAAAGTTGTCTGGCCTCTGATCCTCCATTGACCATTGTTATCAACTGCAAAAAATAAAAAATCAATTTGTAAAATGCCAATACTTTAATCATTATAATCAAATTCTAAATATGAGGTAGATGATACCTATATTCAAATTTAAAGCAAAATCAATTGACATGATATAATCTAAACCTGGACCTCCCCTATTGTTAGATCCAATAGCAGTTGAAGGGTTAGAAGTGTCTAAGTTAGAACCAACAGTATATTCATTCCTCTTCAAAAGATTCAGTCTATAGCCAATATCAACAGGTGCCGTAAATGGTTCTGAACTAATATCTTTGATATGTATTTCTTTCAATTTACTCCTTTGCATTGTAGCTTACCTGTATTGTAGCTTACCTACATCATAAAAGTGAATATATAAAAGATATTAGTTTAGAACATATATAAAGACATTGAGAAGTTAAGAAATCATAATTGTATATACAAGTTTTGTTCGGGTCTATTATTTTCAATTCTCATTAATAATAATAATTTTAATAATAATAATAATGGTTTAAATATAAATAATATTAATTAATTAAAAATTATTTTAAAAATATTAATAAAAAAAAGAAAGAAAAAATAGAAAACAGAAAGTAAGGTGCTGGAGTACGGCGTCGCTGTCGCCCCCAACCAGCCACCTTACAACCCCTCTCCACCAGACCAACCATCCTACCTGCCTCTAGTAGACTCCTCACCAGCCCCGACCAGCCACCCGACCAGCCAACCTACAGCCACCACCTGTATCCTACACACTCAATCTACTATAAAGCCTTAGCTTCTTCCCCATTCAACTCTGGTTCCCATCGGGCACACCTTTTGCAACCAGAAGAACCAAACCTTCCCATAACCTGAAACTCTAGAAACTCCTATACTCACAAACCCATCTAACCTCACACGCTCAAAGAAACCTAAGCTCTAATATCCCATAACCAAAGCTCTCTTCCATCCTCACCTACCAGAACTAAAAACTCAAGATAAATTTATAAAAAAAAATAAACAAAATACAGTCCTTTCCATATGGAGGAACCTCAGTGCCAAAAAGCCCTGTAAACAAGCAAAGAAATTATTAGTTTCATTTTGAAAAAAAAAAAAGAAAGGAGACCGAAAGCTTTAAGCCTCGATCTACGTCGATCGAGGCTATTTCTGGAAAAACGAACATTGGATCTGGAAAGAAGACATTGTGGTGAACGTTTGGGAGTATTTTTGGCATTTTTCGACAACCGACGACCATCGACAATAACCGCTTATAGTGACCCAGGTGGCAGTCAGCAAGGCTGTCCGACGCTGGATTCTGGTCGAAGCTAAAGAGGATTTTTTTAGACGAGAAATTTTTTTTTTTCTGAGAAAAGGGTGAAATGAATTGAAAAGCAAACTGACATTTATAGAAAACATAGGAGCAAAACGACGTCGTTTTGAGCATAGGACCAAAATAGTGCTATTTCAAGCATAAGAGAATCCGCACGTGGATCGAACCTAACCGAAGATCTGCGCAAACCGACCCACCAACCCGCCTTAGTCACCCTCCAATCGATTCAAACAAATCGCACTGAACCGATCCAACTAAATCGAACCAAATCGCTCTTCAACCGGCTCAATCGAACCGCCATTGATCGAATCGTTGACCGGTCCGATTCAGGTAAAAAAATTTTTTTTTGAAAATTTGAAAATTTTATATTATTATTTTTGTTATTTTGAGTATTCTTTTTTTATATTTATGCATGATAAATTTTTAAATTTGCTAGGATAAATATTTAATTGTTTTAATAATAATAAAAATGAAAACAAGTAAAATAATAATTAAAAAATATATATTAAAAATGATTAAAAATAATATCTTAAAAAAATAATAAAAATAAGAATAAATAATTTTTGTTATTTTCCTTGCCAAGATGTTGGAGGGAATAAAAACATATTCCTAAAAATAATTTCGCCTAGATGTTGGGTAATTATTTTTAATAAATTTTCATAAAAAAATATATGAAAAAATTTTTGATTAATTTTCAAAAATCACTAAAATCGAACTTGCTCCGAAAATCCACCTAGATGTTGAGGATTTTTAGAGATGTTTGAATTTTCTTAAAAACGAAACCTTAAACACTAAATCTTAAATTTTTAAATCCTAAAACTAAACCCTAAAATTTTTAAACCCCAAAACCTTTAAACCTTAAAATTAAATCCCAAACCTTCAAACCCTATAATTAAACCCCAAACCTCAAACCTGAAAATCAAATCCCTAAAACATCAAAACCCTAAAATCAAAACCCTAAATACTCTAAACCCTAAAACCAAAACTTTAAAACCTCAACCCATACCCAGGTTAAAAAACCATAAAAAAATCCTAAGGACACGTGTGAAAATTTCACTTAAAGTAATATGCCGCCTAGATGATGGGGTGTTTAAGAAAATTTATTTCATTAAGTTTTTCATACCCATCCTTAATTCGTCTTAACAATGGAGTTAAAACTTTAATAAAGAGTAATAATAAATTGGGATCTTAAATATAAATAGTCGCACCTAAGCTCTGCTTAGATGTTGGAGAGTTGGGGTGGGCTCATTATATTCAAGAACGCTACTCTAAATTTATATGTCATCACTTTGCATAACATCCACTAACATACATACATCATCATGTTATTCGTGTTGCATTTCTTTGTCTTTAATTTTTATTTGCTACCTGACAATACCATCATTTATTTTCTTATATAAAATGTTTTACAAAAAAAATACATATTTTAAAATTTTGATATTATAAAATAAAAAATAACATTCCGAAGGAAATAATTCTTGGTACTTTGCCTAGATGTTGGAGAGTCACTAACAATTATCTTTTATAAGGATTGTTATTTCATTTTAAGGATTGTTGTGCTAAATCTTAAGCGAAAAGAGTTATTTTAAATTCTGCCTAGATGTTGGAGAATTTTAAGATAATTTGTTAACTTAAAGATTTTCTTAATATTTCTAAATAAAAATTTTAGCAAAAATATTTTTTTTAAAGGAAGGGAATTAGTATTAAATTTCAAGTCAAAACCATTTTATCCAACACCAAAAATAGCGCATGATTAAATGGTACCAATTTATGGGCGTTGTGGGTTGCTAATCCTTCCCCACACGTAACCGACTCCCGAACTCAACTTGATTTTCGTAGACCAAAATTTATCTTTTTGATAAACTTTAAACTTGCTTTTATAGTTTTATTAAAATAATAAACTTTTGGGTGGCGAATCACACCCTAACAAATATTGGTGGCGACTCTTTATTTATTTTTCCCGATTGTAAAACACTTTATGTTTGACGGTCCCAAAACTATTACGACAGCTTGACGACTCCACCAGGGAGATTTGAGAGTCAGGCCAAAATTTTAATTAGCTATTAGCAATGGTTGGATTTAATTGGTTTTATTTAATATTTAGTTTATTCCCTTTTTTTAAAAAATTTTAAAATATATATATATATATATATACAAGTTAACAAATAGAATAAATTGCATGTTAGTTATTATTTGGATTTTGTTCTTTTGATTTATTTATTTGGATTAATACATTACTTTACACACACTTTGCATATTCGCTCACATGCATGAGTTCTATACTTGGGCTCTATCCCTTTTAGGAGGAAGTGAAGTAGCTATGCTCTCATGAGGTGATAACCTCTGCATTTGCTAGTGAAACACTTTCACTCAAATTGAACCCTTTCCATTCATAGCCTGTAATGGGTAAGGATCGAGATTCCTTACTAGTCCAGTATGGATGCCAGCGAGGAACAATTTGAAAACTTTAGATGAACAAATCTTCACTCAGCATATAGTGAACCTTAGGGGACCGACCTTTAATAAAGCATTGCCCTTTTGTAGAAATAAGAGAATAGCATTTTTTTGAAATTTTTTTTCTTTTGACATGTATTTCATTCCTTTGGTAGTTATCCAAAATTTACATTTTCATAAAATATTTTAGAATAGAATGAATTATTTTTAGCATTAATCTAACAAGCAAAAAAAAAAGAAAAGAAAAAAGAAGTTTTCAAAAAATTAAAGATTTTTTTAAAAAAATATTTGTTTATTGATCGAATATAATTAATTTTCAAGTCCTAGTTCTTTTGTTTTTTCCTTTTTAAATTTTTTTTTCATATTTTGTTTCATATTTTGCATTTCATAAATCATAATAAATAATACATGTATCCCATCCCATGCACATTATGATAGGATAATATGAGCATTCCATCCCATCCACATCAATGAAAAGTGCATGCATCCCATGTTATACACTTGTTGATAAATGATACATGCCTACCATACGTGTCTTAATAGGTAGTGTGCATATTCCATGTCATTACATGTTTAAAGGTAGTGTTAGTTTCACTAGGTTGGCGTAACACAAGCATTGCATTCCATGTAAAAATATAATGAGCACTTGATAGGTTCATGCATTCCATCCAGGTATGTTGCATTATTCATAGGTATACATCTCATCATTCATGTAAGTATGTCATTGCATTTCATGTATATAGATTCATGAATAATAGGGTCGTATGAAACATACATTGCATTTCATATGCCACTATCCCTGCAATATAACATTATATTCCTTGCATACATATTCATGGTTGACGAAAATTTTCATTTGGGTCCTTGTACATATAAAAATCCATTATCATAGGCATATATGCATTTCATGACATTCTTTAGCCATCATATTCATGTGTTCATAAACATACTTTGTGTGTCATTGTTTTTGTGGCATTCATTCAATAAGGGTAATAATCTAGATTTTTTGGTTTAAGTCGTGGAATAAAATATATGTCTAGATAGAAATTAGAATGAAAAAAAATGAGAGATCGATTGGAAGCAATGATTAGTGCTCTTAAGTTAAATCAAGAATAATTCTAGCTCGAGCTTCGAGAGATGAAACAACAGATGGCTCAATTGATAGAAATGGTTAAAGGTAGTGTTGGAGTTGAGTTTGTTCCTCCTCAAGGATCATTGTCACTTTCGATTCCATCAAGTCAAGATCAATTGGCTCCTGTTAGTCTTAGCACTTTTTCAAAACAAACTAAGGCATTGGGTGATTTGAACAGTGATCGAAGTTTGGGTGAACTCAAGAGAGAAATGGGTGAACTAACCACGCAAATGACTGAGCTCAAAAGTTTGATTTCCAAGAAAAAGTCACTTGGCTTCAACCAACCATCACTAACTATTTCGAGTCCTAACCCATACCTAAATCCTTCTTATGAATACTTTCAATCTCCTTTTCAAGCACCTAGGATTAGGCCCCCAAGTGTCATGCAACCTTCAAAAATCCCACACCTAAATCCACGTCCCCCACCTCACATCAC